GGCTCTGGCTCTGGCTCTGGCTCTGGCTCCGGCTCCGGCTCCGGCTCTGGATCTGGATCTGGTGGCCGTGACTCTGCCACTGGCATCTCTGCCATGAACGCCATTGGTGGTGTTGCCCTCCTTGTCGCGGGCGCCGTCGCCATCACCCTCTAAAGAGAGATTTCTACCGTGCTGTACTCCAGTGTCGCTGACCACGACTCTTTGAAGTAAGCTTCCTTGCATTCACCGACACTCGTATACGCGTGTGTTTCGCTTGTTGCGTCGTGTCCGTTGCATACCAAATACATGATGCATGTTCAGCAATCTCGCGATACGAATGCCAATTGCCTGAATTAAACTGAGCTGTGGAGAGATGTTCACGATGGTGGTGCTGATGCGGTGCTGATGCGTTTCACAATGACATTCTGATTGACCCTTTGCAATTGAGCTGGTCTAATGGCACTAATTGCCGTATTTGATAGGCCTGACAATCACTAGCGCCTTCTCACGCCGCCACCTTGACTTTCGGCTTTGGACAGATTGTGTGGGGTTGTCAATGGGCATCAGTTGGCGTCAGAGTGGCTTGATCAACAGGGATCGAAATGCGACTCTCTTACCTTGAAGTCCTCCACAGCCGAATGGATATGTATCCGGACATTTCCTTCGCCCCCCTTGCCGATTCCTCCAACCTCTCCGCCATGCTGCGCATCTTCGATGTTCTCTGTCCCGCTCGCGACTGCGAAGAGAAGACCATCTCCCGAGACGGCGCCCGCGCTGAGTGGAGATGGAAAGCGTTGGTACAGCATCCGCCGCTTTCGTGCAGCTGCGTCCCAAACGGCTGCAAAGGCGTCTCCTCCCAAGGAGGCAAAAGTGCCGTGTCTGGTAGATCGACGAATGTGCCGCAGATTAGCCATCATGTGAACACACGTACCAATGAAATGTGTTTCCCGCGCAGAACACGCAGCAAGACACTCACGTGGGGTGAAAGCACATCGCATTGACAGGGTAGACTGTGTCGACGCCGTCTACCACCTGTCGATGGCACTTGAACGCGTACTTCTTCGATCCGTCATCCTCGAAGAACTCTACAGCGACACGACCCTCAATCGACGACGCCGCGAAGCCTGACCAAGTAGAGAGCCGGGCATTGGGTCAGCTTGACGAGTGCATGTCATGCAATTGACTTGAAGCCCGAGCTCACCTGTGCCATCCGGCATGCATTTCAGATCTCGAGTCATGAACTTGAGACTGCTGTCTCGGACTTGTGCAGGCTTCCAAGCTTCGTCTTCCTTTGTGGCATGCCTATCGCAAGCTGCTCTGAGCTTCCTGGTTTCGTACACATGCACCCTGCGAGTGGTCATGGCAACGACTAGTCGTGGCACGAAATCTGATGATGTAGACGCTTCTGACGGAGGCGCTGTGGAGATATCCACCGCTAGAGGCTTTGCAGGAAGCTCAATAGTATGCAGTGATCGAGGAGCACTGCTTGGTCCCTCTTCCACAGACCACAGTTGCAGCGTCTGATCCCATGATGTGGTTATCAAGAGCTCTGAAATGCAGCAGGACCGCGGCAGCGCAGCGCGTGTCAGCAATGTTCGACATGATGCTATCCCGCTCTCACTCACTCGTATCTGGGCAGTATCTGATGGTGTTGACGGCATTTGTATGCTTGCCGATGATGTTGCTCTGCCCAGTGTGAGTGTCCAGTCTGAGAGACATGCGGCAAGGGAATCTGAGCAGTGTTCATCACTACCACGGACGGCGTTGCAAGAGACTTACAGCCTAACTCTCCTGTCTAGCGCAGCGCTGGCAGCAAGCTTCTCACTGATCCAACATACATCTAGCACGGCAGCTTCATGCTGATAAGCGTGCACCACAGCAGCTTGGGCGGCCGCCTCATTGGAGAAAGCGGCAGAAGCGGGCGCTAGCTTCAGAAGGCGCACTGTCTGCGAGATCGCCGCGAGGCGTCAGCTTTGCGATTCAGAAGCTGCAGAGATGTATCGCATACACACACCTTGTCCCAGCTTGATACCAGAAGCTGATTGCCGTCCGCGCCGGCATCTTTGAGCGATTGGAAGGCTAGCGCAGAAATGGGCTGGCTGGGCGTGACCTCTACGGGCAGCACGTACGACGAGGCCATGCTTGTGCGAAGCCTGAAGCGGTGTCTTGGATTCCTTGTACTTGCTCGCGGTGCCAATCGATGTGCTCAGCAGATCCTGAAGCCTGAGCTGGGGGGCTGAAATTGTCTTGATCAGAGAGAGCAGCGAGAGGTGAGATGTTGTTCCGTGACAACGCTGCTGGATGACGATCACGCGTCTACAGTAAATATGTTGTAAACGAACGCGTGTAGCAGTCAAAGTCTGATTTTATTTAATGTATTCACCGAGTCGATCGCGAGAAGGTTACCCATCGCGGCTGCCGGCCGAGAGCACAAAGATCCACCACCATCAATCACCACGAATAATAATTATCGTCAATTTTGGCTTTGGCCGCCAGTAAGTCTTTGAGTATGGCAATCGAAAAATCATGACTTAACGACTCTACCACGCGACTGCAAGCTTCCAATTGCGCTCCATTCGATCGACACGCCGCCAGGCTCACCTTGGCTCCATCGAGGATTCCTCTGCTTCACGTCCCATCACTCCTCGCTCCTCGCCCAACGATTGTTCCATCGCTGGCCAGGATGAGCGACGCTCGTCCGCCGCTGCTATCGGCACCAGATGCTGCCATCATGGAGCATGTCCCTACCCTCTCACAATCAGCCTTGGCAGCTACTTCGAGCTCCCGGAGCAGTGTGCCCTTCGAAGAGCTCTACGACATCTCACGCACAGCCGAACGTGTGCTCGCCGTCGAGCCACTACCACGCAGCGTTGTGTTGCAGTTCCCTGACGAAGCTTTGCAAGATTCTGTGCCCATCTTCTGGGCTTTGCAGCGACGGATCTCGGCCCTCGCATCTAAGAAGCAGCTGGATTGGCAGGGTAGGCTGTACGTGGCTGCAGATACGAGCTACGGCAATTGCTGCGTTGACGAAGTGACCGCTCAGCATGTCGATGCCGACTTGGTCGTCCACTATGGACACGCATGTCTCAGTCCTACGAGGCGTCTACCAGTCATCTACGTCTTTCCCAAACTGCCAATAGAGGTGCAACTCGCTGCTTCTGCGCTGGTGGCAGAAGTGCAACCTCTCGTTGGCACCTCTGACCAATCACGCTGCAAGCAGGCGGTCTTGCTGCTGTACGACGTGAGCTACGCTCACGCTGCTGCGGAGGTCAACGAGCAGATCGGAGCGCAGCTTTCTGCTCAAGGCATCAATCTTTCCACCGTCCTCACGCACCTCGAGACCGAAGGCAACATCGCAGAGTCTGCTTCTGCAGTCACGCGACACTGCGATTCCTCGCAGTCTGCTTCATCGGAAATGGCTTGCAAAGACGAGAACGGTGGTAATGGTGCGTGCTGCAACACTGCTCGCTGCGGGACCAGCGCGACATGTCAACCTTCGCGAACGTCGAGTCAGCGCTCCATCAACCAATCCTCGGACGAGAGCTCAATGAGAGATGTTCAGCACATGACTGGCATCGAGAACGGTCTGGGGTCTGGCAGGCGCTTCAGTCTTCCAGACGGCGTCTCGCTCGAGGACACTGTGGTCTGCTATCTTGGAGGCGAATCTCTCGCACTGACCAACTTGCTACTCAGGCTCAGTTCCAGCGTCGCAGTCGTATCTTACGATCCTAGAAGGCCGTCTGGCAAGGATGCGCGCCAGGAGACAGGCTCTACAAACAAGCTATTGATGAAGCGATATGTGGCGGTGCAGCGTACAAGAGATGCAAAGGTCGTAGCGCTCCTGGTGGGGACCCTTGGCGTGGCAGCGTATCTGCCACTCTTGTCTCACCTCCGCAAACGCTTACAAGAGACGGGCAGACGCGTCTACACTATCAGCGTGGGCAAGCTGACACCCGCAAAGCTGGCCAATTTCCAAGAGATCGACGTCTTCGTGCTGCTTGCGTGTCCGGAAAACAGCTTGGTGGATGCGGTGGATGCGCTGCCAAATGCGACGGACAAGACGGGCAGAACGCATAGCAGTCGAGACTTTTACAAGCCCATCGTCAGTCCCTTTGAGCTGCTGCACGCCCTCAAGGAGGAGGCTGAAGGGACGCATAGCTGGAGCGGCAAGTACGAACTCGAATTGTCCACGCTTTTGCGGGATTCCAAGCTCGATTCGCGAACGGCCGAGTCGTCGGAGAAGGCGAATGAAAGGAATGGGGCAGGCTCAGATGAGGAACCCCACTACTCCCTCATCACGGGCGGCTACGTCTCTCGAGCGCAGAAGCCCGCGCGAGAGCATTTCGGCTCTAGCGCAACATCGCAAGCACTCTCCAAAGAGGCAAAGCCTGCTGCCGGAGAAGTGGTTGTGCGAAATTCTGATGGGACATTGACGCGGGTACTGGACAGTTCCGCGGGTAGACACTTGGCTAATCGAACCTGGCGGGGACTACAAGGCAGACCGGCTGGAGCAGCTCCTAGCGTGCTTGCTGTGGGTCGTGCGGGCACGGCTGGCGGCTATGCTGATACTTCTGGCTTGGCTGAAGGAAGGGAAGGTGTAGGAGCTGGATCGAGGATAGTAGCTAGCTCCAAGACTGCCGAGCCTGCGTCACCTGTGCACACAGCGATCGAGTGCTCGAGCAAGCCGACCTCTGAGCTCTCCACTGGCAATGCGGAAGGCGAGATTGATACCTCGGACGACGAAGAATTTGATCTTGAACCATTGTAGCATAGAAATACATTATTCTCATAGCATCTTGTTCCCAAAGTGTGGACCGTTTGGCAGACTTGCGCCGTTCTTTGTGCTCGATGTTGCCTGCTCGTGAAGGTGGTGCGGTTGCGGTCTCGAGGGAGCAGAGCGCCTCTTCACGACCATCCTTCACGTCAACGCGTGCTTCCCTCATCTTGCGGCAAGTCGTGGCTCTGCTGAAAAGCAAGCACTCAGGCGCTCTTGCGCTTCCCATCCTCTCCCGGTTTCAAAGCAGAGGTGCTGAAATCGATCAAATGTCCATCTCTACCATCCCTTGGCAGCTTTCTTTGCTCTTCGCCCAAGTACAGCCTTTTGAAGAGCACCCAAGAGGTTGCGACGAGAAAGGGAAAGCTGACCACCATGACCTGCCAGCGTAGGAGCAAAGTAAAGCGTACAAAGAATTAGCGAGGATGAAGTTCTGCCTGCATTCCAACCAAATTGCAGTATCTGAAAGGAATTGGCAACATCGCTGCGTGCGTGCGTGTGCGGCTCACCCTAATCCTTTGCTGATTGGGCGTCAGCTTCACAGGCGGCATCTTGTGAGAGAAGTCGTGACTCAATGCCACACCCAGCTTGCTTTGTAGTCTAGGCGTATCCGCGCAGGTGTTGATTCAGAAGATGCCTCGCGCTGCTTCTCGGCAGGGTGTCTTATGTGGCCAGCAGTCGCGTGACTTGAGCTTGATCTGTATTTTGATTGAAATGCCCAAGTCCATCGGCTAATCGACGTGCCTTTGCGTCTCCTTGCTCGACAAACACAGACTTGCGTGTCTCGGATGATCTGGCTCGTAGTAGCACTTCTGACCTGTGAATCGAGGTGGAAGCAACCAAGAAGATTTGACTATCCACGAGCCGCCGTCATGCTCACGATCTCTTTGCCGCACATAGTCAACACGCGGTACGCAGAACATTCTCGACGATGCTGTGCAATGGAACATGCATGCTTGACGCGACGCGTAAACCGGCGTTCAACGCCGTCCACATTTATATTCAAGATTCTACAGTACATGGCTGGCTCATTCTTTTCACGCCGCCTACATGACGTCGCCGGTGAATCAGAAGTGCTGGCCGCACGTACGCTAGATATACCTCAGCATACAAGCCGTGTTTGAGTGTTGCTCGGAGTGGCTCGGCCCGTCTCTCGTGGAACATGAATCGACGTGGTAGCCGCGACACTTGATTTACATGGTGGTGATGGCTCGATTTCGGTGCGTATAGATTTTCGACGGACTTCTGACACATGCAGCATCAGCATCAGCATCAGCATCAGCAGCGCCAAGTCAGAGGCGTGTATGTTTTTACTCACGACTGACGATTCACGTTTGCGCGGCCGCGCGACTTGCAGTCGTGAGTGAGTGACTAACTGACTCCATGCGCGTGCGTGCTGCTATTCGTGATTCAAATTGTAGCTTGCGGACTTCAAGCGAGACAGGCACGGCAGTCAGACAGAGAGGGCACGACCTGAATCGCGGCCACTTCCCTCACCATGCGTCCTCTGGATGGATAGAGTGGTGACAAGTGAGCCAGGTGGACTTTCCACCACTTCCCCCATAGCTCCCCATATGGTATGCTTTCCGACAAGCGAATCACCCACTCATGCCTGCGATACAGAAGACGCGCTCTCACTTTCGCCAACTCGATCCTCACCTCACAGCGCTGGGAAGCGATCCCGCCAAAGATGCGCGCCACTCCAAGCCGAATCAAGAGCGCCCTCCTCGCGGCACCGTCAAGCACCTAGCTCGAGTCGACTCCAAAAGCGCTTCTCGCCTCAACAACGGTCCGCAAAGGGGTGTGGGCAAGCTTTGTCTCCGTCGCTCGCCGCCAGAATCATCAGCTCCGTGTCGTGACGGAGGTGCAGGAATCGTAGCCCCCTTTCTTGCCCTTGGCGTTGCTGGACCTGGACCTGGAACATTACGACAGCGCCGGCATCAGCATGCTCTGCCCCCACGAGCTGCCTGGTCCGCTTCTCGAGCGACAGGGATTGAGACGGGCATAGCGACTGGTGCTGACCACGCTCATCGCCATGCGCTCTGGTCAAGCGCACTCCGAGATTCCTTGGCCTCGGAGGCCAAGCTGGCTGCACAGTCCCGTTCGAAGGACAGGCAACGTCTGCAGTCCTTGCGCACAACTACGGAGCGTACGCGAGTCGGTCGCAGTGCCATAAAGGAGGTTTCGGAGCTGGACGTGCGTCGGAAGGCGATGGTGCAAGCCGAACTTGTCACTGGCAGGCGAGAAGAGCGAAGAGTGGCACTTCAAGAGAGACGACAGTGGCTGCGCGAGCCAGCAGCTCAAAGTTCATACTTGCGAAGGGATGATGAGTCTCAAATGCATGGCGGACACCAGGCTGAAAAGGATGCGCAGGCGAGTTGGATTGTGCCGGACACGCGGCCGCTCTGGCCACATGGAGAAGGCACTTCCAAATGCCCATCCACTACTACGCCACGAAGAAAGCGAGCTCGGCTGAAGGGAGGGGCTCACATGCAGGCTGGATCGCCTCAAGGAGATGTGCTGGCCGATGACTCCGAGAGCGTCATCGAGAACTCTTTTTACGATACGGGCGCAGCCTTCGGAGATGAGGTTCCGCAGTTTGCTCTTTGCGGTCAACGACCGGGACATGTTGACATGGACGATGCGCTGAGTCACTCGTGCGCCAAAGGGCAAAGTGGTTCGTCATTTCGGACAGGTAATCATGAAGTAGGAATCGACGCCCTCAGCCCTAGTCTACCCACTCTGCGGAACAGCTCCCAGGCAGGCAGACAGATAGGTGATGCTCAGCCAAATTCGCAGAGGATGCTCACCAGTGCTCCGCCCACCACAAATGCTGGAGACATACGCCGAAAGGAGACTGCGTGTGGCATAGCACGAGGCGAGGTTGAGCAGAGCTGCCATACGCCACCATTGGGCGCTCCTCATCATGTTCCCAGACCGGTTTGTGGCAAGGTGCAGAGCCAGAGTCAAAGCCAAGAAGAGGTTTCGATGAGCGCAAATGAGCCTGCATCCGGCGACTTTGCTCTGCAAGGTACTGAAACTTCCACTGGTGCGCAAGTCATCAAGACGAAGATTCTTCACGCTTTAGATGCCCAATCGCAACATGTCGAGGGTGAATCGTTGAGGAATTCCTCCTTCGTCGAGCGCGGAGAAGACGTAGAGCGACAGCAAGCATTGAAGGACCGGCAAATGTCAAATTCACAGACCTTCTCGCTCCCAGTCCTAGATGAATTGAGTGCAAGCTGTCCGCCGCGCCTGCAGTCTCGCTGTAGAAAGCCGCCACGTCAACAGACAGCAGTCAAGGAGGCAGAAGCACCACCTACAACTAGGCTTTCCTCGGTCGTTGAGGAGGACCGTATCGAAGCAGATGCTCGGAGTACTCCAGCAAGGCCAGCTTTGACGCTGACAGCGACATCGCGTGATTCGAACTTGGGACATGCCGCTGCTCCAGTCGCACCGCCGCCTGCTTCGCATCCGGATGTTGAAAGTTCCCAAACGTTGAGCGAGCGCTCGTTCTGGGCTGCGCCTCTCGTGGCTCGATATGAGCAAGCGCAAAGCGAGAACCTCTGTGACGCACCATCGACGGGCGACCAAAGTCTCGAGTCGCGCACAAGCGCCGCGTCCAGGTCGGTCTTTGATGCGACCAGGACTGGCACGACGCAGTTGCCCGCTGGCGCTCTCTTTCCGTTCTACAATTTCTGCGAATCGCAGATGCTTGAAAGCCCATGCGGGCGCTTGCCCCCATCCAAGCCGACCGGTACGGGTCTGTATGGTCTTCACAGCCCTGACGAGATGGGAGAGGACGGCGCACTCCTACAAAGTTCGACTTATTCCCACTCCCGGCTGGAAAACGGTTGTGGCGTCAGAAGCGGAGATTCTCGTGAAGGAGTGTTTGCACACCATCCTGACTCAATACCTGATGCGCCACTTGTCCAACAGGATCGCTCGCGCGTTGATGGCAGCTTCGTCTACGAGCTCGCGGGTCGAAGCGGGGATCAGCGCGTGCCAGAAACGCTACGGTCAATGATCTTTGCCCGAATGCCACCCACGTACGCGACGGTGGGTGGTGAGACTGGTGGATTCTCACGCCGCGACAGAGAAGAGGGCGGTGCTACCCATTGTGGGCTCGATGCTGTGGCTCGAGCTCTGCGTGCTACCAATACTGCGCCTCGACGACGCATTTATCCGGTCAGGTGGAGAGGCGCAGAGATTCGAGGTGAGTTCTGCACGCTTCACCCCCGCCGGTCAGAGCCCAAGCTGAACATTTCATACTCTGCTGCAGCGTTCTTTCAAGAGCAGCGTAGCTTCATCTTGGCGCGAGGTCCGCCGAGTAGACGTCAAGTGTCAGGATGGGCAGAGCGCTTTCTGATGGCAGCTGAGAGTGCACCAAACGTCAATGCTCGAGGCAATTCGTCTCCAAGAGCGCGAGCATGCGATATCTCCGACTTGGGCCTATCGCGCTACAGTCGAGCTGGGACCTCTGCTAGAGGTCGCAACTTGCGCAGTTCCTTGCAACAACAGCAGCAACACGACTCCTTGTTCGACTCGTTTGCTAGCGTTCCTTGGAATGATTCTGGAGTGTGGGACGATAGCTCCTTGGAACTTGACGGCTATGCTGCGCCAGCTGCTGCTTAGCGATCGCGCAGGATATTTTTATTGTCGACGTAGCGTTATCTGTGAACATTGATGAAGGCCCTCAGGTGTGCCAAGGGCCGAGCACTGCGCGCTTCTGGTCTGCAAGGGCTGTCAGACACTTGTGCTACAGCGGAGCTTGCAATGGCAGCATCGTTTGTCTCTGATTGGTGATTGCGAAGCGGCCTGAGCAATGTTTTTGGGTTCTAATGCTCCACCGAGCTTGACCGAGATTGGTATATCAAACTCAGGCTTCACCAACGGCTAGGCGCTCGCATCGCTAACGCAACTATTACTGACCTTGACGTTGGAGAGATGTTGATGTGATTCGATTTACCACAGGGTCAACGTCCCTACTCACATGGTTCAAACACGGAAGGCGCGAAGTGCGACCTTTGCTCGAGCAAGCTTTGAGATCAAAATGCCAAGACGTGACGCCATGCCGCACGGCGGCGAATCGCAAGACCGGCTGTCTCATGTTCGACATTCGACATTCTTGATTTGATGCACAATTTTTGAACCTAGGAGAGGCATTGGTGAATGAATCAGATTCGCGATCGCTTTACCATTTGCTGGCAGCTTTGCTTACCAGTCACATCTCGACTCGAGGCACGCTCGCTCGATCGGGCTACGGGTCTACGCGCGTCACGCTCGTGTGCCGAGCTGCCGTACGATCATCACGGATAGCCACATGCCTCTTCATCTGACTCTCCCGGTCTCTGTCTTTGGCTGCCCACACAGCGCTGCTCAAACTGACAACTGGCGACTGTTGTGAGTGCAGTCAAGCTTTTCAATCTCCAATCGTCGTAAACCCTGCTTTCTCACGAATCATCGATCTTGACTCACGCACTCACAAGTATGTTGCGCGGTACCACTCCGTTCCGCCCACCCAAAAATGTCTTGGCGCGCGTGCATTGCGAAGCTTGGCGCGACGTCATTGACGACCACTGCTGCAATCAAATCAAAATCAAGCCTGTCCCGCTCAGGTGTACGTGATGCCTCACGTTGCCCCTTTTGCGGCTCGTCATGATTCCGCGACTGTGACTACAGTACTACTTGCATCAAAGACTCGCGATCTTGATGTAAGCACAGGCGCGGTAGATTCTTCTTCTTGCTCCGCATTGACGTCCCCGCACAGCATCGACCATGCTGATCGATCACGACTCGGTAAAATGCCAAGCAGCAATTTGACTCAAAAAGTGTGAGTTGAGTGCACGTCTCATGCATGTGCCCGACAGCTAAAGCGCGTCAGATGCCGAAACTCTCGCGTGACTCAAACAAATGCCACGACGGGCTCGTGATGACGTTACGTGTGACTGCGCTATACGAGATTCAGATTGCTTGCTCAATCACAGATTGGTGATTGACGATTGCAAGGAAATACAAGCGCGCTGCATGGAGCGAGATTTTGAGTTTTGTAGTCACGAGTGCGAGCGGATGTTATCAATCAGCACTCGCGACTCGCGACTCACACTTTGACTTTGACTGTCAATACGTATCTGGTTTGAGTCTTGAGCGATCAATTCATACACGAGCACGAGTACAAGCACGTGATGAGATTCTGGATGTGCAGTACAGGGCCAGACAGCCAACCAAAGCTGCTTATCGTCTCGCGAGCAATTGGGAGGGAACACATTCAATTCAATTCAATTCGGATTCGAGACGCATTTAGACTTGACTCAGTACAACAATCGAATTCACGTGAAGAGCTTATATATAGCAACAGCCTCGTGATGGCGAGAATTTCAGCGGATGCGAAGAGGAGGCCGTCGCAAAGTCTTGGCTACCAATAATCTGCTGTTGCCTCGGCGGCACGAGCAAGCCGCCCACCTGTTGTCACAGTCAACAGTCAGGATTGGGAGAGTAGCACGTACGGCACGGCATCATGCCTCGGCAGTGGAGTGGTTGATGAGAGTTGGGTGTGCGGCAGGGGCGAATCCTAGCTGCCGCGCTAATTTCTCTCTCAGATGCAGCTGCAGCTGCAGCGAGCCGGCCGCCGTGCCGAACCGGCAAAGCCATTCAATCGGAACTGCTGGGACTCACCGACTGCTGTGCCGGTGTGTGTGGGTGTGTGCGTGTGAGACTGGTGACTGGTGATGCGTGCATGCATGCATGCATGCATGCAGATCGCCGTCAAGCGCACAAGCAAGCAGACAAGCCGCAGACAGACAGGCAGGCAGACAGGCAGGCGAGGGGCGGGAAAGCAAACGAGATGATCGAGTGAATGCTGGATGATCGTTCATACAAGCAAGCGTGCACCGCTCGCTACTCGTCCTTGCTGCACTTTTTCAACAGGCGCAGCGCTCACGCTACGACTAACAGATACCAGCTCTCATATGATGCTGGCTGGCCCATTCTGCTCGCCCTCCTCTACTTCCAGCTCCTTGGCCGCCGTTTCCCCTTTGCTCCTTCTCCTTGCCGAAACCTCCGCGGAAGTTGGGTTACATTTCGCTTGCTTGCCTTTGCCCCGTCTCGTCGTCAAGCCAGCGAGTGAACAGCCTCTTGCCGCGCTCTCGCGCTTGTCAAACATCTTCAGCAGAGGCTACCGCTGCACCACTTCAGCCACAAGCCTGTGCACTCGGCCATTGAACTGTCAATGAAGTAGTCTGCGCTCGCTCTCCAGGCTCGTGCTTGCGCCGTTCTCTCTTTGGGACCACCAATCACAAGCCTCAGACTCCCTTTCTCGCTCACTCCGATGTGCCCGAAGTCTAACCGGTCAGCAGGCTGCCTGCCCCTCGACCCGGCCTCGACCTACCAGCCCGCCTTGCGATCTTAGGGCAGCCCTCGCAAGCCAACGTCCAGCAGCGTACAGCGGTGCAATCCATCGGTGGGACAACTCACTCGGACTCGTAAGCTTCCAAAGTCGCTAGCGCAAGCAAAGCCACGATGGTCGGCACGTCGCAGGCACACTCGATGGCGGGCGCCGGCCACCATCGTGCCGAAGGCTCACAAACGTCGACAGGACACCTGCGATCCACGGTCACCCCATCAGTCCATCCTCCCACACCTGCCCCTTTCGCAGCTCGCAGAGATAACAATGCTCTCAATGATGCTGGACCCCTCTCTTCACCATCACAAACATCCTCCCTCCATCGCATCGCATCCCGTCACTCCACCAAGGATCTCATCGTGAAGGCGCTGACGCGCTTTTGCTGTGGAGCGATGGAAATCGAAGCGGATTCTTCCACGGATCCTTCCAGGCGCAGGAGCGCGTTCCAGCCTGACATGTCGGTCAGCCCTTCTCCACTGGCCCCTGCCGTACTTAGAGACTCGAGGGCCGCATCGAAGCCCGAAGCGCCGCCAAAGAAGCTTTCGGATCTGTCCGACGTCAAGCTCGTGGGCTACGAGGATCCTCGAAACTGGAGTTCACCTCGAAAATGGTCGACTGCAGCCATCATCAGCTTCATGGGCTTCATATCACCGTTGGGCTCCTCCATCGTCGTTCCAGGCTCGCCATTCGTCGATAGGGAATTCAATCTGCCAAGTCGAACGGTTGCGCTGTTGCCCGTCTCGATGTTTGTCTTGGGCCTTGGCATGGGGCCATTCTTGCTTGCGCCAGCCAGCGAGCTCAAAGGCAGACAACCCGTCTACGTCCTCTCTTCGCTCGTCTTTGTAGCTTTCAACGTCGCTACTGCCGTCGCTCCCAACATGACTGCCCTCATCATCCTTCGATTCCTAGCTGGCGCAGCAGGCAGTGCAGGACCAAGTCTTGGCGCAGGTAGCATCGTAAGTACTTACCATTGGTCGTCGCGCTAGCCGCCGCCATCAGGCTGAGTCCCTTACCGCACGCTCATTGCATCACACTCTCTCAGGGCGACATGTTCGCTCCTAATGAACGCGGTCGCGCACAATCGCTCTACGGTCTCGGTCCACTGCTCGGACCTGTATGCGGTACCGTAGCTGGAGGTTGGATCGTTCAAGATATCAGATCTTGGCGTTGGCTCTTGTGGACATTGACCATCGTGAGTTCGATCGATGGCATCACCAGCAAAACCAACCGTCGCTGACCGATCATGTCGATGCTTCTATCGCTCATCAGTTGTCTGGCGCCGTCCTCTTCATCATCGCCGCGTTACTTCGCGAGACTTATGCACCCGTACTACTGGAGCGCAAAAAACGCAGGGCGGCCAAAGAGCGGCTCGACCAGCTTCCCGCTGCGGTTGCAAACGGGTTGGATCCCATCGAAGCCGCCATCGAGGAGGACTTGCTTCGCCGCGTCGCCACATCTGGCGCACCAAGAGGCATGAGTCTGGTGCGCCGGGCTCTTTTCGAAGTCACGCCGGGCGTCGCCGCCCGCACCAAGACCAGAATTGCCTTTGCTCGGCCTTTTCGGCTGCTTTTCACCAACCCCATCTGTGCCGTCTTCTCCATCTACATGGGATTCATTTACGGCATCATCTTCCTTTTTCTGACACAGCACCCGCTGCTTTATCAGCACCGAGAGCCAGACGAGGAGGCGCCCAGACCGGACCAGCTGCCTACCTACGATTGGAAACCCGGCCCTGCTGGTCTCACCTACATTGGTCTTGGGTTGGGATTTTTGACGGCTGCTTTGATCAACGTACTGTTGCAGGATTCCATCTATCGTCGTCTCGTCGCTTCTAATGGCAAGCTTGGCTGGTTCTTGTTCGACCTGCCAGAGGTCATCGAGGCCAGAATGGCTAACGACAAGCACATCGACATTGCTCAACGGGACCATGACATGGAAGCTAGCGCTGCTCCAGCCGTAGCAGCACCTGTCACCGCGGAAAAAATTGCGCCGACGCCGCACTCCTCGGAAGCTCCCGCAGCGGAGAAGCATGTGGCCGAAACCAAACCTTCTGCACGGGTCACGAAGCCCGTGCTGCCCATGCCCGTCCGAAAAGGTCGACCAGAATATCGTCTGCCGCTTTGCCTTTTGGGCATGATTATTCTGCCCATGGGTCTCGTCATCTTTGGATGGGCAGCAGACCAGCGCGTGCACTGGGTAGCTCCGCTGGTAGGCTCATACCTCGTGGGTATGGGTTCCATCTTGCCCTTTCAGGTTATCCTCGTCTACCTCGTCGACGCCTTCATCCCCTTCTCGGCATCAGCAACAGCCTGCGCCGTCCTCGTGCGAAGCATCCTCGCCGCTGTATTCCCGCTCTTTGCTCAGCAAATGTTTGTTGCATGGGGCTTTGGAGGTGGAAGCACTTTCCTTGCAGGCATCTCCCTTCTTGCCGTGCCCGTACCTATCGTGCTATATCGCTACGGCGAGCAGCTGAGAGAACGCTTCAAGTTTCGCCAGTGACGTGCGCAACCTGCCATTCCAACAGCCCTCCCTCGCCTCTCCCCTACTGCTCCATCTCCTCTCCGGCATTGTCCTAGATTTTTCCCAACGCAGATCCTCTTTTTCCTCTTTACCAAATGCACCTTCATGCTATCGCAATTCTGGACCACGCAATTGTATTTGTACTGTCACCGATTGCTTTGACGCTCACCACTTCATGCTTCAGGTTGCAATGCCCATGCAACGTACATGCGCCTCACGTGCTTGGGTTGACGGCACTAAAGATTGCACTTGCCGAAATCACGAAGAGACTTGTAAGAGGTGCCGCACCTCCGCGCGTGCTCTCGTCCGTCGACTGCGGCATTGAGAACGTCTGCGGATGAGATCGATATGGGCGTCGAGCGAATGAATGTGATTGCTTGCGAAACGAGTGTAGGGGATGCTAAAGCTGATGCGTGTTATGAGATAAAGTGTAGGCAACAAATACAAGAGGCGGCAGGAAAAAGTTGTGAGCTCAAGAAGAGGCCATCGAGTGCTTGTAATGCAGAGCGAGCGCATTGTGCGAGGTGGGCGCGTGCTTTATGCCATCGGGCGAGATGAAGTCGTGTGTCGAACCAGCCGTCTCCTCTGTCCGTGCCGTCTCGACGCTCTCCCTCAGCGAACTCTTCATGCTGGGCGACGACACCAAGTCGGCGGGCTGACCACCGCATCCCGCGCGATGGTTGCGTCGAGGAGCAGTGACATGGCCAAGAGAATCGGAAGTATTGCTGTGCACTGAGCTCTCGGCATCGCTATGCTCGGCAAGTTCTGCAAAGGCTCTGGCTGGGTCTGCTCCACCCAAGCTCGGATCGGACGGCGGGGCTCGTGTGATCTGGCGCGAAAAGTTTGCAGGGGTCAAGACGGCAAGGGTAGACACGTTGGGGGGAGGAACGTGCTGAGAGCGAGACTTTGAAGCCGCAGCTGGATCATGTGTCAATCGAGATGTTGTCGCGGCACCACCTTGATGCTGTGAAGAGGACGTCAAATGCAGAGGGAGCGTCGAGGTCGTGTTTGGCGCCCTGCTTCGCAACAATGCAAGTTGATCCTTTGTGAGCTTGACCTTAGGCAAGGCGGCCAGCCGCTCAGCAGTGATCTTGTGCTCGGCTGGAAGCTCGCGCTGTCGTACTTCGTCCAGCTCAGGCTCGGGTTCGGGCGCTGTGCGTGGACGACGTTTCCGCGGAGCTGGGGTCAGAGAGATGGTGCCATTCGGTGTAGAAGGACCGTGCCGCGCTGCACTGAACGCCTTCGGGTCCACACTGCTGGGATGCGCAGTCTGAGGCTGTGGCGGCAGATCGCTGCTGCTTGCGACCACTAAGCCAGACTCCATGAACCTCGGTCGAAGAGGCGAAGAGCTCGTGAATACGCCAAATTGCGAAGCCGAGGGGTCTATCCCGAGGCGATGTCTGGCTTCCAGAAAGACGCGGGGCAAATGCAAGGAATCGATCACGTCCTTGCAGGCGCCGCGATTGGCCAACAGCAGCCACATTTCTTTCTGAGCTTGAAGTTCGATCGCAACGAATCGCTGCTCCAGTTTCTCTTTAGGGAGGGGTCGACTCTCATTGGCTTTGCGAGCTCGGCTTCCCTGCCTGCAGTCTTTGCAAGCGCCGCCAGGGGATGCGTCCAGTGCTGCCGAGCTCTCAGCAGCTCGACAGACGAGCTCAACACGCTCTGCAAAGTCAAGCACCGGAAGACCGACAGGAGGCGGGCTCAATCTCTTGACTACATCCGCTATGGACGTCGATTTCGGTGATGAGGAGCCGAGGTGACTGCAGGTCGCTCCGAAAGGGAAGAAGGGCGATCGTGGTGATCGTGACGAGCTTGAGTCTGCAGTCATCGGCCTTTTGGACTTTTGCTGCACTGAGCGTCTGGCAAGCCACTTGCGTTGTGCGTGATGATCAGCACCAGTGCTCGAGGTGAGCTCGTCTTGCTGAGACGCGCTCATTGGCGACGGCAAGCCGTTGGCAATCAGAGGAGATGGCTGCGGGGATGCGGTTTTGACGATCGCTTCTGACCTGTATCGGTCGCTAGGACGCTCAGCGGTACTCTTGAAAGCTTTCACCGCTTTCTTGCCACCACCACTAGCAGGTCTGCTCGCAGAGGGTGTCCGTCCGTCGTCCTGAGCCCTTGGCGACCCTTCAAGACTGCCGAACGCAGGTGCCAAAGACGACTGACTGGACTTGAGGCCCAGTCTGCGCCCGGCTTTCCGTAGCAAGCTGTCGCTGTGTCGCGCAGTCGAATCGACACTTGACGCTATGGAAGTGATGGACGGCCGCCTTTCACGCTGCATGAGCTTATCAAGCTCTGTCACTGTTCGCGACATGCTAGACGAGGATCTCCTCGAAGAGCCAGATGGCACTTCTACATCCGCTATATGCTCTTGCACTTCGCCGTCATCGTACGGCGTTGCGTAGCCTCCGAAACTCGTGGCGCTGAGAGGTGTGGTCGCCCAGTTGAGCGGCGAAGTCGGTAGCGTGCTCAATCCTTCGGTGCTTGCCCAATGAAGCTTCGCTGGTCGACTTGATCTGGGAGATCGACCATACGCGCCCCCATCGTCAAAGCTAGACGAAGTGAAACCAGTAGCAGACAAATCTAAATCGTACTGATCCGGACAAGACACGCCAGAGCTGCACGAAGTCGAGGCTACGGACGACGTCGAACCGTGCCTGAGTGGTTGCTGAATACGATCATGGGCGACTGTGATTGGTGCAGGCCTCGGCTTGCTGGTGCGCGCCTCGCTCCTCATGTGCATCGTGGAATCATGGGACGGACTCGGTTGCATGCCTTGGGCAGCGCCAGTGTGGTAATGTTTCCCTGTGGGCTTGGATGCGACCTCGCATGGATATCCACTTCGCTCAGCATCGAGCGCATGATGACCGCGCCATCGTGACAGCAGCTTGATGGCCATTTTCGCTGCGTTGATTGGGTCTGGCACTTCCGAACGTGTGGAGAAGATCAAGGACGGATGGCCAACACCCGGAGAGAGGGGGGTGATCGGGGTTGTGATGGTGGGTGTGATAGTCCAGAAAGGTGGGAGCGCGACGAGGCCTTGGGACAGACGAACAGGAGCCCAACCTTATGAGCAACACACCTCGTCAGGGGTGGAGCCGACGGGGGGGAAGTCAGCAGCCGTCGCACCGGTTCAGGTGAAATTCAACCGAGCCGCTGTTCTGGTTAGTAGTGAGGCGGCAGGGGCATGAAAGGATGCTCGTTTGGCCCGTAGATCCGCCCAAAGCGAGGCTCGTTCGAGGGTGAAAGCAATGAAGGTGAGTGACGCTGCATGAATTGCTAAGATGAGCACGCAAGTAAGACGGACGCCGACGATTTCCACAGCGCTGCTGCCGCGGTGCTCAAGCGCAGAACAGGAATACGAGCAAGACACGGCTAGTCACAATGGTGCCGAAGGGTAATCGAATGACTTGCCCCAGCAAGGACGCAACTCACAAAAGTGATCAAAAGCCGCTCGACTGGGGATGCTGGAGGCCGCGCACCACAGCTGACGCGGGCATCAAAAGGCGAGTGAATGCTGCAGCGCTTTTGCATGGTAGCTCGGAAAATCGGGCAGGTTGCTCCGCAATCCAGAGCAGGAACGATGATGCATGCCATGCATTGATGGGTGCTTGGGTGCTTCGCCATCGCGATCCGTTTCTTAATCGATGCACCGCCATGGCTGACCCACGACTGTTCCTGAGCGCGTGGACAAGCCAAGGCTGCGGCCTACGGGTTAGAATCGCAATCGCAATCTTGACTGGCGCTCTGCCAGACTCTGTGCATGGTCGACCGGAGGGGTCTGCTTCGGTAGATGAGAGTCCCAGCAAGTTGCTTCCGCCCACCTCCAGCTGCACGCTTTTCAGAGACGACTGACCATCTGCCGAGCCTGTGATGCACTCCGGCAACTTTGCCGAATGCAAGGGTTATACAAGCAATAACTCCGCTTCCCGTGGTGCTCACGAGCGATGCTCCAAGCGGCTGATCACCGCCATTGCCTATATCGCGGTTGTGATTATCCACATGAGGTGCAGCTTGGAGAATCAAGCGGGCAGCTAGTCGTTGGTAGTACGAAGCTCCGATTGATCGAGACATGCTGCTGACCAATGTGACCGATGGACGCCCCTGTCTTCTGACGCTGTCGATGAGCGCAGCGTGCTCAATGGCCTTTATGATGGCGTGAAAGGCGTGCGAGACAGCCCCAGAGATTATGTGGGTCTGAAACCAAGCATTGAGGCTTACACATGACACGCAAGTGCATGACAGGCGGCGCGGCCCGGCTAGTCACCGATTTGCTCACTCTGCATGCAGCATTTCGTGAATGTTCACTATATGCGCGCCCGTGACCCAGCAAGAACAATGCGTGAGTTTAGTGGTCTGCTTTTGCTGTAAATACGCATGAGGATCATCATCACAAAAGGAATCAATTGCTCCCGGATCTGCAAGCAGGGAGCGTGCTTGTGGGGCGAGGCAGTGCAGATCCCAATCACCGGTTATCACGCTCAGCTGAGACGCGCATCTGTCGCAGGCTTGCAGAAGCTGTACGTGCCTGTGTCCAGGGTATGCGTGATGATGAGTGCAGCTGCGAGCCGCTGCGGGTCTGGATGGCTATACCTACGGGTCGAGCAAGCGCACCTGTAGGTGCAGACTGCTGGAGACAGGCTCTCTACCAGTCTCCGCCATCCTCTGACGGTTCCTGACACTCCTGACACTCGGCTTTGACTGCATCAGGGACTGTACTCACGCCTGTCGACGGTCGACGCGCCTCCGTCATGGCACCAACGCAAGAGTGACGTTCGCGATTTCGTCCTTCCGCCTGCTTTTGCTCTTGCTTTGTTTGCATCCTCAAGACTCAGAGACTGGCAAAGTATTTGGAGCCCCGCCATGCACGAACCCTATTAACAGTTAGGGTAATTCGACGTGGCAGGCTCGATCTTGCACATGCAAGCATTCACACACTACTACTCCTCCTGTATGTAGTACACTGTCCCAGAGATCACATGGGTCGATCACTCGATTGGTACGGTTCGTTATTAAGCCAAGAGCACTATGTGTGACTTGGCGGTGGTGGTGCATCAACGACTTGTAGTCAAATCATGAATAGAATGCCAATTTCTGCATTGCAGGCTGATGATTAGTACACGACGGGCTGTCATTCACTAGAGCAAATGGAGTCAAGGTCCGCTATCGCAATTAAGCACAGCGGTCTGCGAACCCTGCAGCAGCAGGGCGAAAGCAGTCCAAGACGGACAGCAAGCGGGGTTGAAAGGTTCCACGCGGCAGCATGCAGGCGGCATCAGCTGCGTTCCGATCATCTGAAGCACGACATCGTGAGGATCCTCTTCTACTTCTGCCGCTCTGCCGGGCATGGTTTGGTCCCACATGCATGCAGAGTTGGACGAAGTTGAGGTTCGCTCTGTCATACGCCAAACAATTGCATGCATGGGAATTGGCCCTCTCGACGTGTGTACAGTACGCCATTATGCGACCGCTTTTGAGCGAGATAAGACCTGCCTACGCATGAAAGAGCCCGTGCTCCTCTCGGCGGCTGGGGATTGATGACGCCACCCGGAAGGGTTCTCTTGCATGGGGGCTCAAGCACTCACACCTCTAATGAGTTGCTTGGCCTCCACGCCTGACTTGCTTTGAGAAAGATCGAGGGGGTCATCGCGCGCGCCCTACGCCTTCCGTCACGCATGTAAAGGGGACTCACGACTGACGCGGCGTGAATCGGGAATTCGGCTGCTCGGCCGCATCGAGGTCAAGAGCTTTCACTGCAGCGTTTAGGAGGACATGAGTCTCAATTGTGATCGTGTGCGAGCCCGAGTGCAAGGTGGTCGGTCCCCAGGCTCAACGTCCCCACTATGAGAATCACTATCGCGGCAGCCAAATTGAGTTGACCGTTGTTTCCTTCTCTACAGAATTTTGAAACCTGTCGATCAAATGACGCTTGCTCCTCTGGCCTTGCTGCTTGCTTGCCTTGTCATCACGATCGTTGCGGGATGTGTCTGCTCTTGCGTTTGCTCTTTGTTCCTTGGAAGCGAATCAGATCCCGATCTTGCTCAGCGCGGTTCCGAAAAGGGCAAGTGCGTCCAATTTCAGCGCCCGACAAGAAGCATCAGCGCTCATCTTCACTTACAGTGTATCGGGGATGGATGGGCACGCAACCGTCGCAGCGCAGGCCGCAGGTTGCCTGCTCATCGGAGTTAGCAACGAGCCTTTGAGTGCTGCCTTTGCAGTCGCAATCTCAAGCCTCAAAATAGCGCTTCATGAGACATTCGAGATTTCTCGCGCATCCACTTTTGTATCCATTCTCCATTACAATTAGATTGTGCTTTACATGCGACCCTTTGACACCGACCAGGCATGAATGGTGAAGGAACGTGCCTGGAACCAGAAACCGAAGCTATGGGTGGCAGCAGGAAAGCTGACCGCCCTTTACAGCGTCGCGAAGCTACAGTGTGTATGGATGCTACAGATCGAGCGGCGCAAGCCGTCGTCAGGCGCGCCCTTTGCCGAGGCACAAACGAAGCGACGCGCTGGGGCCAAAGATAGCAGCAGTCTTGAGTCGTGAGTCATGAGTGCCGTGATCGTGATAAGGGAGCCTAACGCAGACTATTCGAGAAGAATTACAGCGAGACTCAGCGCAAGTGAGCGCGCTCTCACGATACAAGGCTTCGCTCTGAAGCTCTTCCGCCTCTTCAATCTTTCCATCGTGGCTCAAGGGCCAAAGCCAGACTCGCACGCACGACTCTGACTGAAGCGACGCGCACCAGAGGTGCATTGTTGCTTCCTGCTTCTTCTATATCCGTGATTGCGCACACAACATCGAGATCAGGCGATTCTGACGATCCTGTCCGTGCGCCCATCACTTGCAATCGCCTACTCCCCCAAAGTGTGTGGCTTTCATCACGAGCCTGATACATCCCATACAACCATGAGCTCGTGACTACCTGTTTATCCGGCTTGGCGAGCGCAAGCGCATCGCTCTGCACGCTGGATGTTATCGCTATCGCCACGTCCAGCACGCACATGTACGGAACACACCAGGGTGTGCAGGAATTCAGTCGGCGCTTCAATAATAATGACTATAGCGTTTGCCTGCGGAAGAAAGGACTCCCGAACGAAAGCCACTGAAAATCAATCAATGCAGGCAGCCCACATTCGCGGGAAGACATCGAGAAGAAGCCTAGGCCTTTGCGCCTCTCGCCTACAAAGTGAGTAGCACGAAGTGAGTACATAGCTGCTTTGTGCGGTCAACAAATCGCCCTCTGCCTCCGAAGTTTGAACGTCGGGTGCGTGCGAAAAGGATGCCGCTCAAGAAGCAAATCAGCTCGCGTGCGACATGCGAAGTGCGTCGTAAGATCATATGATTCGATGTGAGTGGTTACAGGGCACTACCTGAGACTGGGTCCGCGAGATCTGTGTTGGTTGGCTTGTGCTTCTTTGGAAGAGGGGCGGTGACTGAAAAGGTGCTGGCCGTGTTGCACGTGGCGAACACGCAACCTAAGATTGAGCACCGCTGCTCTCTCCCACGTAGACGTCCATCTCTGCGTCCAAGTCCTCAACGGTCTTTTTAGGCCTGGCCTCGCGCTTAGGACGAGCGCCGCGTCCACGAGCAGCTCCACGTCCACGAGTCGCGGCCCTGTCAGATTCCGGTGCCAGGGTCAGGAACGTTCGTCATGGAGGGGACAGCGTCAGGCTCGCGAGAGGACTCACTTTCCGCGTTGGCTGGGAGCTCCGCGGACACTTTGGGCAACGGCAGCCTGCTGAGCGGCAATAGCGGCGGCTTGTGCAGGGTCGACGACAACCTCGATCTTGATAGGTTTCTCTGAGATTTGGGACGGGTCAGTGTGTTGGTTGTGAATACAAGGACTCGACTCGTCTGAATGCAGTCCCATCGCCACAGAGCAGGACTCACTGCCGTCAATGAGGCGGTTGTTGTACTGCTGGTAGGCGCGGTTGGCGTCGTCGGGACGTTGGAACTCAACAGTCACAGTGCCAGTGGACTGGCCATTGGCGCGGAAGCTCATCTGAACGCGTCTGAGCGGTCCAATGGAAGTTGAAAAGAGTTCCTATGTAGGGTGCAGAAATCGCCCAACTCGATCAGCTCAAGGGCAAGAGGAAAACCAAGCGTGTGGTGGCGATGCTGACCTTGACCTGAGGCTCAGTGACATCGACTGGCAAGTTCGAGACAATGATCTTGCTGTTCAGGGGTCCCCCGCCAGGGGCACGACCGGGAATGATGACAGGTCCACGATTGCGGTTGTTGGCAGGACCGGTAGGGGGAGCACGTCCGAGAGAAGCTTTGCCAAGCGCGGCAGCCTTGGCGTGAACGCCTGCCGAGCCACCGCTGCGACGAGGTCCTCCACGACGTCCCTTGGGTCCGCCCTTCTTTGGGTTGGCAGCCACAAGCTCGTCCAGCGCTGGAGTGAAGGTGATGGATCCTTTCAGTGAGACAGTCCAGAAGGTTGTTTACGTTGGCGCTGATGCTTACATTTGTCAATGTTCATAGACTGAGGCCGCCAAGGCGTCGTAGGCGTGAGCACGAGGCGAGGCGAATTGACGGAGAGATGAGAATGAAAGGGCAAAGAGGTGTCAGATAAGAGATGCATACATCTTGTGGCTGATCCCGCCATTGGCAGTGGTCGAGCGCGGCGGCAAGGATCGAGAGACATGAGAGACGTGGACGACGAGTAGCTGCGGCTGGTGTCTCCGCAAACGGCTGAAAGTGTGGCCGTTTGGAGCAATACTTGGCAAATCATTACCGGCTGTAGCACAAAACGTCGCAAAGGGACGTGGCGCAAATGCTCCGCGACATCGCATTGCCTTCGACGCCATCCTCACAGCAGTCTTGTAGCTGGTAGAGGTGGATGGACCAGGTGCAAGGCAGGCTACGTGCGCGCGCGCTTGGCTATCGGCACACGGGGTGCGGAGACGAACGAGATGAACCTGATCACGCAGGACGGCGCGCTACCCTAGACTTTCGTCCACTGCTTTGAGCTGTGCGTTAGGTATCTCTTGCATGGAGAGGCCGCCGGAGCCGACCGCGTGACTGGGCGTTGAGGCTGGCTCGAGTGCTCTATTGAATCTCTGTAGCAGACTTGACCTAGGTGGCATGGCAGCCGCCGAAACAGATTGGGGCTGTCGATAGGCCGTACCTTCTCTGTGCTGCTTCGTGCCGCGCACGCGTTACCTGTCAACCAGAGATAGCGTTTTTCCCAGCGCAAACAAATCCTCGCCGGATGAGATCATCAGCTTGGCCGCATTCTTTCAGTGCGACCTTGAGCCTGCGCTCGATGAACCAGCGACATCCTGCATCTGGCCTTTCGTGTTGGTTGCAGAGACCCGGAGAGAAACGCTCAAGACACGTCGTCTTCACGTGAGTGCATCGGCAAGGTCGCTGTGAGGGCACAGAACAACAGTTGATCCCGTGGCCAGAAGGGTAGCTTTGGCCGACCCTGGACTGGGCACATGAACAAGCGTTGAGAAGCAACGTTCGGGAGCGACGGCACAAGCCAA